TGAAACCCCAGGACCAGCAAAAAGAAAAAGAAAAACAAAACGCCCTGTGACCTCAGGAGACAGTTTACAAAATTTGAGGTAGGACACATAGTATGTCCCCAACGAAGTTTGCCACTAGTGTGATTTAGTACACAGCTAGAACCATTCATGCATGCACATAAGTATCATTAGAAGCTGACTTGCACTTTTCAACTTGGGGCTATGTAGTTGATTGGCTGTAGAAGGGCTAGTTACTGGCCAGGACTTGTAGGATGTGGCAGTACTGTTTCTTGGCCACCTATTCTGGCTGCTGGAAGACAATTCCATCCAAGTTGGCCCAGTGATGTTAGGACAGGCTCATTTCTCCACTTACAACACAGAGACAAATATCCACTTTTCTATGTTCCAGGTACCCCTATTTTCCCTTATATTTTCCATGAATTTCCTTTGGTTTACCTGGCAATAGGATGTGATCAGGGTCTCTAATGATATGGAAGAAATCACCAGATATGGGAATTGAGTTTCTAAGATGAGAACTAAAAAGTGAGAACAATGCACAATTTTTTAACAATATAGTCTCTTCAAGTTAGTGAGTTCAGAGGGAGGACTAGGCCTCCAAAAAGTGGTCAACTGACTTGGGGTGGGAACAGGGGGAAAATGGTGAGAAAGTAAGGGTAGAGGTGACATTGTCCAAAAGGAAATGTACTCATACCTTGGAGCTGGTGGCTCATGCTTGTGATCTTAGCTGCTCAGGAGACTGAGATCTGAGAATCATAGTTCAAAGCCAGCTCAGGAAGGAAAGTCCATGAGATTCTTATCTCCAATTAACCACCTAAAGCACTAACTATCCCTGAGGGAAAAAGATCAGGGACAGCACCTAGGCCCTGAGTTCAAGCCCCATGACCAACAAAGAAGAAGGAAAGGAACTTATGTAAGTGTAACCCCTCTGCACATCATCTTTGTGATAATGATAAAAAATTAAAATAGAATAATAAAAGAGGGAAAAGGAGTAGAACTTTGCCCCCTAATACCTACTGAAATGATTTTATGGGAGATAACACCAGGAGGCACTATGGAGAGATTAGTGTTGCTCAAGACAGAAAAGAATGGTGAGATGGTAGAAACAGGGCAGCAAAGCCAGGGAGGAAAAGCCAGAGGAACTGGAGTTTCTGGAAAGAAGTGTTGGTAGAAGGTAATAAGCCAGTATGGCTCCATCCAGAGCTCAGACTGAGAGAACCAAGGCAAGCCTAAGTTCTCAGAGGTGGGCCCAGACTCCACTCAGGGAGAAGGCCTACCCTACAATGCCAGTGGCACTAACTTTCCATTGCTGTGAGACGTAGCAGCTCCCACCCTTCTCCTCTTCCCATAACAAGAGAGAGAGAGAGAGAGAGAGAGAGAGAGAGAGAGAGAGAGAGATCAGACCACAGATTTCAAGGAGTGCTTTAACTTGGAATTGCTATCAATTGGGGTAGGCAAGGACATAGGAAGGGTCCAAGAGGAAGTGCTGAATGGAAAATAAACAGACTGAAAAGTCAGGATTTTAATGCTTGGGCTCCAAAGGTATTAGCTTCTTGCTTCTATGAAGATACTGAGTTCACCCAGTCAAACGGAGCAGAGTCAGGGCAAGCCTTCTTGAAGAGTCCAGATTGTAGGAAAGGAAATGGTGCATATAGCATTTAGTTCTATGGAAATGGAACCTCTTAGTGAGAGACTAAATGGCCACTAAAACAGCAGAAAATGGAATGCCAGAACCCCTTATCCTCTATGCCCTCCAGAACACCAAGAACCTTGAAAATGGACCTCTCACCTGTAAAATAGTCCTGGGACTTACCACCTAACACAACCATAATAACAACTCAGTGTGGAAATATCTTCTACACCAAAACAGGTATAGTTGAATTAGAAGTTTTGAAGGTTCAGGAATGGCATGAATACTCAGATTTCTCAAGAACAAACAAGGGAAAATACCAGAAAAGCCGAACTAGGAAAGTAACAGTGGAATCTGTAAGGGCCATTTGAGAAGCTGTTATCCTAGGAGTGGTTTCCAGAGACCACAAGTTTGGACAGTGCATTCTTCTTTGACCACAATCTAGTAGTCAATACACACAAGAGTCCAGGGCAGGTTTGCTTGGTTTCTTCTCCCAGGGGAAAGTTGGTTCCTGTAATACTACCTGTACTTGCTATTAGCTCTGCCTCAAGTTCCTGTTCCCAGACCCCCCACAAACTCTCTTTCTACTCAAAATCGTCTTTCACTTTAAAAATTATAGTTTTACTTTGAGCTTCTTTCATACATTTTGTAGCACCAGAAGCTAACCCAGCAGCACTAGAGAAACTGAAAATATTCATTATTAATGTCCTCCTCTCTCTATCATCCTTTTTTATACCAGGGCTACGGCCCTGGTACACACCCCACTTTCCACAGCCCTGTGGCAAGATTCACACAGAATTTTCAATGGAAGGATCACAATCTGAGGGTGCACATATTCCAGTTTAACCTGGACATGCAGCCTAACATCTAGCTGTAATTAACATCACTAGGGGCCAGGAAAGGTATTAACCATAGACAACTCTATTCTCCAGATGGTTCTTGTGACCTTTCCATACTTGTAAAACATACAGATAGCTCCTGGTCACCTGAAATTAAACACCCAAATCCAGCTTCCTGGCTTCCATGTGAGGCAGGAATGGTCTGGCAGACTCTCAAGTGAGGCAGCATCCCCCTTCTGTTGGCAGATACTTACACCTGCTTTGCCAAGCATCTCTGCATCTCTCTGATCCTCAAAGTCACCAATGCTCTCACTGTGCCTCTGTTGAGCTCAAAGTCTACTTTTGGATTGGAATTTGGGCACTGTTACTAATCACTCCCATTGCCTAAACCTCACCTTACAGGACAAAGTGGTTGTTTGAGACCAGCCCTTTCCACACTATTTTTCCTGAGAGACCACTACTTAGGAAGCACTATAGCCTAGAAGCAAGGCTGATCTTCTGTCGCTTCCTCCAGAAGTGACAGAAATGGATGTTTCTCTCCTCTACAATCCATCCCTCCCACTACTCTCAAACACACATGACTCAGCATAAGGTGTAGAGAATCTGAGCATAATGCACACCAGTCTTAAGTACAAGGCTGTGATACCTTTACAATATGTGAGGCTCTAATGTGCTATGTGCCACTGATGCATTTTCTGTTTTTTTTTCTTTTATTTTTTGTCAGTCATGGGGCCTGAACTCCTGGCCTGGTCGCTGTCCCTCAGCTCTTCAGCTCAAGGCTAGTGCTCTACCACTTGAGCCACAGCACCACTTCCAACTTTTTTGGCTTATGTGCTGCTGAGGAATTGAACCCAGGGCCTCACTGAGCCAACTTCCAAGCCCCAACTGATGCATTTTCTATAATATATGAACAAGTCAGGTGAACTTAGACTATATAATGAAAGCTAACACAAAAATGTCTCCCTGAACCAGGTGCCAGTTGCTCATGCCTGTAATCCTAGCTACTCAGGAAGCTGAAATCTGAGGATTGTGATTCAAGGACAGCCCAAGTAGAAAAGTGCATAAAACTCCAATTAACTCCTGGGGGCGGGGGGAAGGCCAGAAGTGGAGCTATGGCTTAAGAGGTAGAGTGTTACTGTTAGGAGAAAAAGCTCAGGGACAATGGCCAGGCCCAATTCAAGCCACAGGACTGGGAAAAAAGAAAAGAAAAGAAAATTGTCATCAAGTATGGATGTGTTTTGTTGGTGTGAAGTAAAGAATACAAAGGAGAAATTGGCATTGTAGTTGTTTCGTGCATTTTCATTAGTGCATATTATTAATCAAAAATGGAGTGTTTTGTTGATTCTGGTGCATGGTGATATATAAGGATCTAGGTTTAGTTTT